TGAGATTGGAACAGCTGAACTGCAGAACTACAGTCAGCTGAAGTAGCCTGCAGTGTTGGATTTAACCCTTGCGCCACCTCGGCTCTCACATGAGCCCAGACACTGAACTCATCATAAATATGAGCCACTTGCCAAGTATCTCAATGTTGATCACGGTGTGTGTGTGTGTGTGTGTGTGTGTGTGATGCAACGGTCATAAGTGTGAAAAACGGTCATTGATCACTATTTTCAATGCTGTTGCAACTTCACTAAACAGTCGCTAAACAAACCGTCGTGAGTCAAGGACTACCTGTATCCCAGCACCTACAGCTCTTATTTCCCATTTCTTGTACCTTGTAAACTGCAACTCCTCTAGCATTAAACGGGACTTGGATAATGATATCAGTGGCATCGGAAAAGAAAGTGTAGCCCTGTTGAATCGCCTGCCTGAGAAGCAAATGATGGATCTGGCCATTATCCTCGATCGATACCATCCACTCCATTCCAGGTGCTACTTGAGACCCCATTCCAGGCCGGACACCCTAAAATAAATGCCACAACATTAAGAAAAGATCTTTGGACCAAGACAGGTTTGCAATAACCATGTTGCAGAATCTGAAAGCTCTCCAATTTCAGACACTACTTTTGAAAAGCATTCTGTTTTGATGTTGCTTAAAAGGTAAAGGTTCCCCTCGCACCTATGTGCTAATCGTCCCTGACTCTAGGGGGCGGTGCTCATCTCCGTTTCAAAGCCGAAGAGCCAGCACTATCTGAAGACATCTCCGTGGGCATGTGGCCGGCATGACTCAACGCTGAAGGCGCACGGAATGCTGTTCCCTTCCCACCAAAGGTGGTCCCTATTTTTCTACTTGCATTTTTTTTTACGTGCTTTTGAACTGCTTCTGTTGGCAGAAGTTGGGACAAGTCACGGGAGTTCAATGTTATGTGGTGCTAGGGATTCGAACCGCTGAACTGCCAACCTTTCTGATAGACAAGCTCAGCAAATGAAACTTCTGCTGCTTCACTGAAGCTTGAGAGAATCTGGAACCGTTTCAAGGACATCTTAAACAGGTATGATGTTGATTCAGATGGTTCCCATAACATGGCCTAAATGGAAGCCTGGGGGTTTGTCTAGGAAAATCATTGTTTAATACTATGAACCTGCACCTGGGAATCTCAGAGTTAGTTTTGCCTTGAGATTACTATGCAATGTATTCAATAAAACAGTTTTTCAGGAGCAAAATGGTGCTGGACTTTTATTTGGATGCTCAAGCTGGATGTTGACATTAAGATATTTATTGGAGAGGACCTCGGAGATGTTAAAAAATCTCTACCACCTGTGCAGAAGGACACCTCTTAAAATCTTAAATCTCCAAACAGCAATCTTAAAAAAAAAAGACTTAATTTGTGTGCTTTCATTATCAGCCAACAGATACATTTCGAAGACTTGGAGGGAAAAAATCAGCAAGTCTAATTAAAATCTCAGAGACAGATTCAGATTTCCCCCAACTAAACTGCACTTTGTGTCAATAGCTGTGATTAAACCACACGCTCAACCGCAATCAAATAAATCACTGCTATAATGTGAGCCAAGTCACGTGGGCAGATTATAGATTCTCCCCCCCCCCCCCTAGTGTTATTTTATTGGTAAATGCGATTCAACTAGCTTGCCGGAGGAAGTTGGATTACATACCGTGAGTTCATCCCGAAAACTGGGAATCAGCCTTGGGAATGTAACCTACAAGGGGAAGATATTTGGATATGAGCATGAATAGCAAAACGGTGCAATGCGTTGAAAAGAATCGAGTTGAATGGACATGAAATGAACTGTTGGAAGTCAAGGACTACTACAACAGGAGACATAAACCATGCAAGAAACACAAAAGAGATTAGAAGAGGGAAGAAGAGGGATAGATGAGAATAGAGTAGAAAAGAGAGTAGAGTAATAGGAATAGGATAGATTATAGAATAGGATAGAATATAGAATATAGGATAGAATATAGAATAGGATAGAATATAGGATAGGATAGAATACTGAATGGAATAGATTATAGGATGGGATAGAATATAGGGTAGAATATATAGAAGAATTGAGCCAAGGTGGCGCAGTGGTTAAATGCAGCACTGCAGGCTACTGCTAGATCAGCAGTTCAGCGGTTCAAATCTCACCGGCTCAGGGTTGACTCAGCCTTCCATCCTTCCGAGGTGGGTAAAATGAGGACCCAGATTGTTGGGGGCAATATGCTGACTCTCTGTAAACCGCTTAGAGAGGGCTGAAAGCCCTATGAAGCGGTATATAAGTCTACTGCTATTGCTATAAGAATTCTATATATTGTATAGAATTCTATATTCTATTCTGGGGAATATAGAATAGAAGAGAATATAGAAGAGAGTATGGAAGAGAATAGAATAGAATAGGAGAGGATAGAATAGAAAATAGAATGGAATAAGAATAGGAGAGAATAAGAGAGAATAGAATAGAATAGAATAGAATAGAATAGAATAGAGAATATAAAGAATAGAATGCTTTATATGGCCAAGTGGGATTAGACACACAAGGAATTTGTCTCCGGCGCAGAAGCTCTCAGTTTGATAATAATAATGACACTAATATAAGAAGGATAAACGTAAAAGCCATACTACATGGGTAAATTATACACAAGGCTGTACTTGGCACTTAGGTGTTCACCAGAGCAATGGCAGTCAACCCTGCCCTCAACACTTACCGCCATGTTGGTTTTGGTGCAGTTTGTAGTAGCACTGGCGAAGCCACTGTTGGAACGCGCTTCATCGGCCTGGGGGGCATCGCAGTCTACGCTGTAAGTTTCATTCTGGGGTCGAACCCCCTCCGTATCGTTGAACTGCAACCTGAATCTCAGGCGCGGCTTGTTATCCTGGGAATAGAAACCGCCAAAAAAAAACCCCATCTTTTAATGAAGCCGTGAATTCCTGAGGAGCAACTTCGGGAACTGATCCATTCCTTATATATAGTCAAAATAACATTCCTTTCTCAGAGAGTCAAGGACATATTGCCCTGCACCTGGAGTGGTGTGACTGGGAGGCATCTCCAGTTTTGGACGGTGCCTGATTATTTTTTTTAAAAAAGGAGCATATATGTTAAAATTAAGGATATTTATTGAAATTAAATTATAAATACCATTAACATAAAATGGAGCTTGCTCAGAGGCTGAAATACACCAAGTAAATGAGATGAAGAGTGTAGAAGAGGGGAGAGAGGTAAAGAGAAGAAGAGAGTGACAGGAGAGAGGGGGGAAGAGGAGGAGAGAAAGGAGTGGAAAGGGGAGAGAGGAGAAGGAGAGCTGAAGGGGAAGTAGAGAAGAGAAGGATGACAGAGGGAAGAAAGAAGGTAGGGAGGAGGAGGAGAGAGGGAGAAGAGAGTGATGGATAGGGTACAAATATGGTGTATGGAGAGCAGAAGAGCCAATAATTGTTCTTGTAGGGTTGACGGTAAGACAAATTGATGTAAATATTTAATAATACAAAATAATATTGGTTATGTAACAGCATGCATGTGGTTATGTTATGAAAATGAAAAAATAAAAAAACTTTTTAAATAAAAAAGCGTCACCATTGTTTCAGCTTGTTCAAATTTTTCTAAGCTCTGAAAATGAGCCTGTATTTTTTCCTTTTTTAAAATACAAACACTTTTCTGCACTTTTAATAGAGTAACAGGCTAACAGAGTTGGGCGGAACCGTGGAGGTCTTCTAGTCCAACCCCTTGCTCAGGCAGGAGACTCTTATCATTTCAGACAAATGGGTTGTCCAACCTCTTCTTGAAAGCCTCCAGTGATGGAGCACTCACAACTTTTGGAAGCAAGTGGTTCTGCTGATTAATTCTTCTCCCTGTCAGGAAATTTCTCCTCATTTCCAAGTTGCTTCTCACCTTGATTAGTTCAACCTCTTTATCCTTTAGACCAGAGATCTCCAAACTTGGTAATATTAAGATTTGTGGACTTCAACACTGTTCAATTCCCCCTGCTGGCTGGGGAATTCTGGGAGTCGAAGTCAGTGGTGGGTTTCAAAATTTTTTGGAACCTACGCTGTGGGTGTGGCCTCCTGTGTGGGAGTGGCTTTGCCGCCCTGTGACCTGGTGGGAGTGGCTTGCCAGCCATGTGTTTTCTTTGTCCCTCTCCCTCTCTCTCTCTCTCTCTCT